AAATTCAAAATTTCCTACCAACTGAAAATATTAGGTGTGTCCCGCGCGCTCATATGACCTTATGCAGTTGCGAGTGCCGTAAAACACTTTATAGAAACAAAACATCTATCTATCAATCTATATGTCTGTCTGTCTTTCTGTCTGTCTGTCTGTCTCACACGAACACACACTCAGACGCACCCACGCTCGCACGCACACATGCACGCGTGCACAGACGCATTCGAGCATTATAAGAATAATATCAATAAATTATTATTTATTGAGGCAGTCAGTATGGTCCTCCCGTGCATTGGTTATGGGGAAGTATAGTAGTTCTTTTCTTTTGCAGTCTTACCTATATCATTGTAATAGATGTTTCTTTGTAGAGAGCAACATCTTTGCGAGTATCCTAAGCTTTCTTAGATCGTAGCTTAGAAGAACAATATGTACCCAAAGCAGCCTTACTGCCAGTAAAGCGGATGTGTATAGAACTTATTTATCGTGCTCTCAACACCAAAGGCATAATAATTATAGGACATTTATAGGCTGTTGATTTTTCTTATTAGCTTTGGTGATTGACAAAATCGTTTTAAGGAGTTCCCAAGGCCGAGGGTAAACATCTTTAAGTTCAAATTTCAGTTTATATACTCTGATCTTAACAAGTAACGATAGAGAACGAAATCTTTTTTTCTAACTATCAAAAAATTATGTCATGTTGCTCACTAAAAAGAATGTAAGATCTGTAATAGCCCAGCTTTTTTTATTCTATAGGCCTAAGTCTCAGTTTTCTCATTTCCCGGCGGCCATCTCTCGCTTTTCCCACACGTAGATATTAGGCTATGCATATTTATGTGACAGCGGAACATCCGTAGCTTACTCTAGTTGTTATTGTAGAATTGCAGTACATTTAATAGGGACTGAATTCACTCAAGTTCGAACGAATAAAATAAAAATAACACTGAATACCCGTGCAATCAATATTGTCAGACTGGTAGGCCAACGTAAGACCGCTAAACATTTTTTTTTGCTTCTTAAATTCTTTTCATCGCCCACTTTTCGTAATATTTAAGTGGAAAGTGTAGCATGGCGTTTGATACAACATAATTAGGCCTATATAAGCTTACTTTTATCTCTTTTGAATAGCAATCGACGTGTAATAACTTAATAAGCCAGGGTCACAAAATGGATCATGTCTACATCTTCTTCTGCTGCTGCTCTTCCTGATCCCCTTCTCATGTCCTACTCTACCGTCTTCATCTATAGCTGCACTTGTTTTTCTAATTATAATTTTTGGTTAGTTTAACAAATTAGATATTATGCAGTTAATTATATTTGTCAAAACAAAATAAGACAAACAGTTTTCTGTGTATAACGCCCATTTTAAAGTCCTTATTTCCTTTTCTTTCGTCATTATATTCATGTCATAGAATTTGAGGTTTATTGTTCTTACTGTTATATCAGAATTGCTTCAAGCATAAACCAGAAAAGCAAGACAAAGGACACACGAGCCCACGCTCACGCTTTCTTCATAATTATACCCCCCCCCCCCCCGCACATAATACGAGCAAAAGTACAATGTACGGTTGCACGTGCATCCGTGGACAGAGAAAAACGACCGCACGTCCGCATGAGTAGCCTATCCTAGGCCTAGGCCTGCGTGATATGGACATAAGTGGATAACGCGAACTTTTCTTTCCCTGGGGCGTAGTTGTGCCAGCTTTGCCTTGGCGTTGCGAAACAACAAAGGCGGATATAACTAAAATTAATAAACACAGTGGTCAGTGGCCACGATCAAGACCAGTCCATATTGTTTTGTTTTCTCACAAAAGCAATCACAGTTTTTAGCTGTCACATGCTCTCAATCGACCAATCGGTGTTATTCTTGCACTGTTTACAATGTTAAGCGATTTTACTGTGCTGTGCTGGAACAGGGTGTGTACATAGCAGCGCCCGTTTCGCCGATGTTCTGCTGTTATAAATTCTTAGTGTGCTCGGCGATTGGGTGAATTGGCAATTACAATAGTTCCGTGCTGTGCTTTATTCATGACACGTCTGCATACTCAATTATTAATGCATTTTTGTAAGGAGTAAGACATAAAATAGAACCTGTTGAATATTTTCGGCTCGTTCCCCTACTCTGTGCTGTGGTGTGTGAATGTGTGTTCAGTTGTTATGGAAATTATGGCTGTGCTTGGCCTACTCAGGAATGCCCTCCAAGGCCGAGGGTGTTTTAATTGTTGGCACTCAAGACGAAAAGCCAGACCGGTGTCAGAGCAAAGTGGGGAAGATCTGGATTCTAGATCTAGATCTAGAATGTAGATCCTATGAGCGAGGAATATTTGTTGTAGTCGTGGATTGGTGTTTTGCTACAAACTAGGCTGGAATACCACAAATCCACCATGCCATCTCGACGATCATGATGCCATCACTCCTTGTAGAACCAGATAACTGCACGGAGGCGGGGTTGATGTTGCTTGTTTTTCTTTTATAATCTGATCTGTGTAACAAAATCCCCCCCCCCCCCAAAAAAAAATAAAAAAAATCTTAAATGAATCCATGGACTAATTTATAAGGCGGGCGTGGTGGTAGATCTAGATCTAGATCTAGATCTAGTTTACTTATCACACTCACTGTTTGTGTTGTAACCAGTCCCCCCCCCCAAAAAAAAAATAAAATATAAATAAATAAATAAAATAAAATAAAAATAAAAATAAATAAATAAATAAATAAAAATCAAAGCTTATGGAGAAGTGCATAAGCAGAATATGGATGTGACACTATTTCTTGAAGAAATTAGCCTGTGGCCTGTGGTACAAAAACAGACTCTGTATAGTTCAGAAGCTGGTTTTGAACTGAAAGTGAGATTATTGAGGTTGAGGATATTATTATTATAGGCCTACATCACCTGTCAGATTTTTCTGCCTTATTGATTGAATATGGATCTAGTTGACAAAGCTTTTTGGTTAAGAAATAAATAATGAATTGGTCATTAGATAGAGTTATTGTGCAATTACAATTAATAGACCAGACCACTGTAACTGTAGTTGAATCAGCTATTTTGGGTATTTCGCAATACCTGGGACTGTCTTCTTTTGCAGGATGCTGATGATTGTGTTCATATATATGATAAAATATCTCCCTGATTAAGGTTTAGTTTAGGAGTTGGGTCTGAGGGCTGGGTAAAGATTTTATTGTAAACAAGTTTTTGGATTATTTAAGGGGAATGAATGAATAGTTTTAAACAGTTTTTTAAATAAAAAATTATTTATTCAAATCATACGTAGGGCCCCTAGTTCTAGTAATTCCATTTGACCACGAAACATATATAGGACAGCCCTGTTGCTGAAAATATTTTTACTTTAGAAAGGGAAATTTTTGTTTGGAACACACATGTGTTAATTTTTAAAGTTACTTTTAATTCTCTGATTATTTTGTAAATCAGTTACAATCCATATATATATATTTTGACTTTTTTGGTAAAGTGTAAGGTTTTGAAATATTATTTTTATTGTGTTATACTTCACTAAGTTGTGCAGTGCTGAACCCTTTCATAACTAACGTGAAAGTTCAGGACTGAAATTCGTACCATACACAACCATGGATTGTTGATGTGAAACACTTCTTGTGACTTTGTGTGAATAATAAAATAAACTATGGCTGATAATCTTGATCCTGCTTTTGACGGGCACTACAGACGCCACTCCGGTGATGCTCGCGAAGGCGTCATGGAGCTGACAAACTTGGTCACCAACCCTGTCGCAGTGCCGGGAGAACTGCCCTCCATTGGCCTCAGGAGAGATGAAAGTTCTGAGGCCCTCAATCTTACACTGCATCAGGTGAGTTGTAATGGCGCCCCCCCCCCCATCCCGTTTACTTCATGCATATATAATGTTGAATGCATCCCATTTTCCCAACTTGTTAATTTTTTTCCTCAAAATAATGTCCTTCTTTTAAAATGTATTTTTATTTTTTGAAATGTTGATAAAAACACTTTGTTACATTTTTAAAAAAGGTTTTTGTATGTTATAATGCAAGTGGGTGCGTACTGTTAATTTAAAATAAGAGGGAAATGGAGAATATTTGACTTCCATTACTTTTTAAAGGAGATCTGTGTACATATCAGAAAAAAAACCCCAAAAAGAAAATCACAGTTTGAACAAAATTCGTGGGACTGCATAGAGTCAGTACTTAAATTAAATTTGTTAATTGGATCGAAAAGTTGACCGGTAGTACATTCATTGTGTACATGGTAAAAAGTTAGGACACTCTTCATAATCTCCCAACATTAATTTTTATAATCGGAAGTTTATGAATGTAACGTTAACTTCCTCAACATCTGATTTGAACTTTTGTTGGATTATTGTCTTTTTATCTACATGCTTATAGTGTGCAAGAGATGGAGATGAGTACAACATGAAAATCCTGATCCGCAACCTGGGCAATCATGTGAGGAAAAAGATCAACCAGTATGACGAGGATGATCTCACACCTCTGCACTACGCCGCCCGCTACAACCATCTCAGTGTTGTCAAGCTCTTGGTGGAAAGTGGGGCTGGTATGTTCTCATATTCCCCCCTCCCCACCCTCTCTCCTTTTTGCTTCTCTAGGTTATAATAATGATTGTGGAGGGGGGAACCTCAAGATTTGATCTTTGTCCTCATTCACTGAGCATGTCTTTCACTTTCAGCAAGGATCTTTGAGATGAAGTTGTTTTTTTGTGTTGTAAAATAAACATTACGTTGGCATGATAATAATCATGTTTAGTATGTTCTGATTACATTTTAAAAAAACCCTACTCCACACCCTTGCTGTTAACTACTACACAACAGCTCCCTGTTTCTGTCTTACAGCTAACATGGATTTGTCAAGGTCATGCCTCAGCACTCATTTATAATCTTAAAAGCTGTTGCTCCCAATACTGCTGGACATTCTTTGTGAACCTATATTCACAGACTGCTTGAGTCAACATGATTCTCGTGTGTGCTAGGGGTAATGTTAGCTCAGTCTATGTTGACACCAGACTGCTTTGATATGGTGATTGGAGGGGGGGGGGGGGGGGGGGGTAGAACTCGGTTTGAGGGGGTTTCCCCCCCCCCCCCCGTATTTAATATTTTCCAAGGTGTAGTTGACCCTTTTATTTTGCAACACATCATATATATATTGTTTTGAAGTGACACACTGTGTTGGAAAGCTAGTTTGCCATTCGACCTGTAACTTCACTTTGTTGACTGGCCTTTTACTTCCAACCCAAAATCATGCACTGTCTTTTTGTCAGGGTGATAGTTCAGAATGGCTCTCTATTAATCACAATTCTGATTAGTCTTGAGCACTTTGACTGTACCATATAAAATTTCAGTGCAAATGACTCTTGTGGTCGCTTTTTAAAATTTATTTAGTAATTTTTGTTGCCACATCCATATTATTGGTATGGTGACATAACTTTACAAAGAAGCCATTCTCACTCTTGAAGTTGGAGAAGTTATCAACTTTCCGGTGCAAATGTCGTATTTCATTGTTCATTGTTTTCTTATCTTGCAAATTTAAAAAAAGCACTCAGTATCTAAAAATTGCATTAGATTTTAATTAAGGTCTAATGCAGACATAGAAATTGACTTGCTAAAAATTTGGGTTGATTGCAAAGTTTTAGGCTGCTTTTGAGAATGGTTCTTATGTAGGCTATATATATGTGTATAAAATTTTAGATGTTTATTATATAATTATATTTTGTTTGACAGTATTTATTACAATTTAAATATCATGGTGTGAATTTTGCAGATGTACAAGCCACTGGTGAGGATGATGTCACTCCATTGCATCACGCTGCCAGGTATCGGCGGGAAAAGAGTAAAAAGAAAGACACACCCACTGAAGGACCTGAGGATGATGTGAGTATTTGAATACCAATATGGGGGAACGTTATATACTACTAGATTACCTTTCGTAAGTGTTTCCAGGGGTAGCATTCATGAATATCTCATAAGATGAAATTTTGGGCCTGGGGTTTTTTTGTTGTTGTTGTCCGGTTATGATTTGATTGGTTTGCTGCATGAAACTTGTACAACAAAACATTACTCCATAAGTCTTACGTCGAAGAGCAATATAAGGACTATGAATGATACAAGCTTGTACGCTCAGCTTGCTTATAATTTTTCTTTAGTTTTTGCTGCTCTTGTTGATCAAGCAGTCTTTAGAGTTCTTGTCCTTTGGTCAAAGGCTCCATGAATTCCATAGGTTGTATATATTCTCATGTTGCATCTTGCCTAACTTCTGCAAGTAGAACTGTCACTTATCATGCCTGTGTTAATCAGTTATGATTTTATCACTCACAATTACAAATGAAAATAACACTGCCAAACCTTCCTGTCATCCTTTCTTCTTCTAACGTTTACTCGTCTCCTATACTTCGTTTCCTCAGAACTATTTTGTCCAAAGTGAGTGTATTTAAAGTTTAAGTAAAGAGTGCACATTGGACAAAACAATTCTAAAGTGACGACTTGTGGACATGTCACATTACGTTACAATTATGAAGAAAAAGAAATACAGGTTTTTGAAATGAGTCTTCTTCACGCTCTCTTTTTTTACTCTCTCTCATATCCTGGTGACCCATTCTTGCATATTTCTGCCGTCAATGTTTATCTTTCATTTAACTCTTTTCGCCTTAGAGTCCACCGATATCCTTTGCTCTCTCCATGAGTGATGGATTTCTTAGCAAGTGTTGTACCACCTCAATTGATTTATATTAAGTATATTTTTGGGGGTATTTTTTAATGGACACCTTGCAGGTGGTTAGTTTATTTTCATGTTTGGTCTGTCCCTTCTACTTTGCAATATATGTTTAAGTGGGGGATTGGAGGGCGCCATTAATAGGTCCTGCTTCTTTCCTTTCCCTCTGTTATTTCTGTCTGTCTATCTTGTTTCTTCTGTGCACTGAATGACCATTATTTTGTCGATGTGCTTCTATTTATTCAAACAAACGAACAGACAAGCAATGTGTTTGTATGGTTTAGACCTCTGATCTAAATGCAATATGGCCTTTTGTGTGCCTACTTGTTTTAAATAACATTTCATCTCAGACTTTTCATTTTGTTTACGTTTTGGCAATTATGTTACCTTCTGGTTTTGAAAAAGACACGTAAGTCAAAACTCAATCTTTTCTCCGTTTTTGTTTTACAGAACACTCTGCATCCGATATTAAGTAAATAAATGAATGCAGTTGATTAGGTCTTTTCCATGGTGCCTCCCCTCTCCTCACACATACACACACACACATATACAGTTTCAATGGGTTCTTTAATTAAGTGTACAGATATCACTTCTTCTAATAAAATATACCTTTCCTTCTTCTGTGATCTGCACTCTTTCAAATGGTCATCTATTAACAACTAGGTCATGAGAATGATTAAATTCCATTTTCTTTGTGTACAGATATACTGCCATAAGGATTTCATTTTCATTCTTGGTTTAGTTTTCTTTCTGTTTGTTTTAAATCCGACAATAATTTTTTCCCGCTGTTATGGAGAAAGTTTGTTGCAGTTTTTGTTGGGGTTTCTTTTGGTGATGTTTTGTGAGCAGTTTGGTTTCACTTGGGCAAAAAAATTCAAGCTTGTCATTTACAGCCAAATGCTGTCTTATGTGTGGCATTTTTTTCAGTCTGAATCATGTGATAGTTCTATATTTCCAATGCTGTAGGTTGTTCAGTGTCCCAGTGGGTAGCTGGCAGTTGCTCTGGTTTGGTTTGTTCTTTCTTTTTTATCGAAGGTCTATCGTCCTTATCTCTCCTCCTGTTTTGTGTATATTACTCTGTTGTAACACCTCTAATCGTCGGCACTGATACGACCTGATTGTGTTACAAGTGCCATTAAAACTGTTACTAAACCTAAATCAGTATCCTGTTAGAGATTGCCTCTTCTGTTCCTTTTTTATATTTTTATCAGTTGACTTCATCTGCCTCTTGGCATTTGTGTAACACGGCAGTGAATCTCCTCATAAAAATGTAAACCTTTTCTGACCAATGATGGGTTATACTTTGCACTGTTTTCCCTTTGTGTAATGGTGGATAGGTTGAATGTCTCAGTGCTTGATTAATGTGATATCAGATTTTTATATCACATTACTCAAACAAATTAAATGGGTCATATTTTGCACTTTTTACCTCATATGACTGGAAAGGTCATTGCGTTTTGCGCTGTCAGATATGATGGTAGGTAATCGCTGTATTTTAATTCTTTTTCACCTCGTGATGATGAATGGATTGTTATGATATTTTGCTCTGTTTTCCTCCTAAATTTTTACCTGGTTCATGCTTGTTGGCCGTGCTTTTACCACAGCCGGGGCCGCCTGTCATTGAAGAAGAAGAACCTGAAAATGAGGAAGTTATTGCCAACAATACGGAGGAAAACAAACCAGTCTCTTTAGTAGACGGTATTGGAGAGTCTGACACAGAGCTCATCACCCAGGTTACTGACCCCTCCTCGGTTGTTATTGTTGTTGCTGTCACTATCGTTGTAGTGGAAAATGTCCAGCTGGTCTTCACTTGATGTTGTTCAATAGTCGGTAGTAGTAGTAAGAGCGTTTACATTATTTCCTCACTGTTTACTGATATTGTGTTAGGAATTCTTTGAAATTATTTCCCGATTGATTATGAAAGAGATGTTGGTATCGTTAATCTCTTAGTCTGTCGGCACTCTATGTATATACGTTATTATTTCCTCACAGCTTATTAAACATTGTGTTATAAATTCCTTGAAATTGTTTCCTTATTGATCGATTATGAAGGAGAAGTTGGTATCCCCAATCTCTAGCCTGTCCTGTCTTCACTTATGTTGTTCAATGTAGTAGAAGTAGGAGTGTTTATGTTATTTCCTCTCTGCTTACTGAACAATATGGTAGTAATTCTTTAAAATTATGTCCGGGGCAGTGCCACTGACTGTAGTGTCTTTTGGCCATTCCCAAAAGGGGGACATTTCTCGTTCAAGCACAGTAGAATTGTAAATGGACTGATTCATCATGTCACGCTCATAACTGTGCCTGATCTGCAACAGGGAACTGCTGCTTTTTCTTTCCTAATCCTTACTATTGTCATTTTTTCCTCTACTTCTTCGGTATGCTTGTCACACTCTTGTGACCCGCTATTTCCAAGGTGCCTTGATAGTCGAAGCAGACTTTGTGCTGTTGAAGCTAGAGAGGTGAGCATAGTAATTCCGATTCCCTGTAAGGACTTCTATGTTGACACCTACCCCTTGGCGCTCATATGACCTGATGCAGTTGCGAGTGCCGTAAAACCCTCTACTGAAAAAAAAAAGAAATTATGTCCCTATGGACTTTGACGATGTTGGTATTGCCAAACTCTAGCTTGTCTTCACTCGATTTTGTTCAGTGTAGTAATAGTAGGAGTGTTGACATTATTTTACGTTGTTTCCTCACTGTTTATTGAACATTGGGGTAGGAGTTCCTTGAAATTATTTCTCTATATTGATTATAAAAGAGATCATGTTGGTATCGCCATCACTTGGTGTTGATCTGTAGTGGTAGTAGGGATGTTCACCTTTTTCCCTCACAGCTGATGGAACGTTGTGTTAAGATGTCTGAGAAGTGGACAAACAGTGGTTACTTGTTTATAGAGATGTTAATTTCAATCATGTCCAGCCTGTCATCCCTTTGTGTAAAACAATGACAGCATTCAAGCAGATATTGCAAAAAGTAACAAAGGGTAAAAAATAGTGCCTTTAAACATTTTGTCAGCATTGCCGTAGTCTCATTATGAGCTCTGTTGTTAATTGTTATATATTTGGTTCCATTGCTGGGATTTGTATATGCAGCACCTCCTCTCGATATCTTAAAGATATCAGAAGGAAAAAAAAACCCAACATAAAAACCCCCAACAAACGGCAAAGAAATCGTAAGATGAAAACATAGCCAACGGAATCAGTCTGTTTTCATGTTGTGTGTCCATTGACAAGCAGTTAATGTCTTATAAGATTGGTGAGTGTGCAGCCTTTAGGCTGTGTCATTGTACTTTTGTTGATGGTTCATGCTGTATATCGATCATACCCTATAGCAATATTTCTGCCCAGTCGTACTCTGTTGAATCTATTTGTTCTGACATCTGTGGTGTTGTTGCTAGGCACTCTGCTGTATGTAGCATGCAGAAGACTTGAATTCAATTCCCATGTGGGGAGAATTTTTAACAAGTATCGCTTTCTTTCTGCTGGGAAGTTGTATCCTTCTCAGCCGGGGTTGGCCGTGACAGGCAGGGTCGAGGCCTGCCTCCTTGATTATCTAAATTGTGTCGATGGGGGCGTAAAACATATGCATACAAATTTTTTTTTAAAAGATTGAGAACTTGGGATGTGCGTTTTGGCTTTGCGTATTCTGTTCTTGTCAGTAGAGAGGTGCTCTGTTGTTTGTTTCACCCTATGAACTTTGACTTTGCATAGTCTGTTTATGTCGAAGTAGAGATGCTTTATTTTCTACTTTGTGGGCCATGCTGTTTGTTTTTCACCCTCTCCTCCCCCTGCACTTTTGGCTTTGCGATGTGATTTTCTAGTCATCTGGCGGAGAACATCACGCTGCTGGACCTTGGTCCCCGTTTCAACACTTGCCTCCCATTGGACAGCAGCCTCAAGCTGACGAGGTCTTGTGTTGAGTGCTATGCTTATTTTATATGTTTATTTATATTTTTACAGGGGTGCGATGTTGTGTTTTTGGTAGCTTTTAAAAAATCGTGTTGTGTGCGCATGCGTAAATAATGTTAATAGAGTTGCTGATTTTCAAGGAAAATCTGGATAAATCTGGAAATCTGGATTTCTGTAACTGTCTGGATTTTGTAGTAATATACTTACTCCTGCTTATTTATTAATTGCTGGATGGATAACAACATATATTTATTTATATTCTAATCTCTTTGTGCATGTCATAGTGCACTTTGTGTTAAAATGTTCTTGATACGAGTGGCCTTTAGCAGTCTGATCCATAAATTTTGAGTTCCTGCAAGTGCGTTTCCAAGAGGTCTAAAAATTATGGGGGGTTTTTTCCTAGCAATTTGGCACCTCTGGTATAAAAATTATTCCTTTAGAAGTTACTGAATTTGTACCTTATTATTATTATAGATTTTTTCTGTTTGTGTCACCAGCGTGTACTAACAAGAATGCGAGCTATTAATGATGGAGGGGATATAAGAGTAGCATATGATGAGAGTTTGCCATGTTTGGTTCAGCCTTTTTTTACTCCAAACGTCGATTGTGAGGAAGGGGTGGAATCTGACTCGGCCAATCCTGGTGATATGCTCTTACCTGTATGTTGACCTCATTTAATGTGGCTGACAGTCGAACCGGTCCATAATGGTCTCTCAAGATCACATAGAAAAGTGATCGTTAAAGACAGGTGGCTGCTATGGTCACTTACTAGACATGACAGAATTAAAAGATGGTCTAAAGTCTGAAGTCTTGATTAATTCTTTCCACTTCCTTTTCAACAGAATTGTTACCTATTATACAAGCTTCTTTGGGTAGTGTCGATGGCCTTGTGGTTAGGCTACCGGACCCGTAATCGTGGATTGCGGATTCAGGGGTTCGGGCCTCAGCTCAGTCAGACGTTGTGTCCTTGGGAAAGGCACATTACACGAAATTCCCATTTGGCTCGGTCATTTCGGAGATGGACGTTAAACTCGGAGGTTTCACCTCTTTAGTCTACCAGTGTTGATAGGAGCGTTAAACCTATACCAGTTCACCATTAGAGCTTCTGTGCATTGATGGAATGACACTCAGTCTGAAAACGAGTTGGCCGAAAACTTGTCTAGCAAGTGACCTCTATGGGGAGGTTTTGAGGCGGACTTGTTGTGAAAATGACCGTCTGTGGCTGTGTTGGACTGGGACCGCTACGGACAGGTTAAAAATATAGGAAAAAAACAAGGGTGTTGCGAAAAAGTAGCTGTTTGTGCAGGTGACCATTGTAGAGAGGTGACCGCTAAGGCAGGTTCGACTGTACTGTTTTAGCTTGTGTGCTGGGGCCTTGTACATGTGTACATCGTTATGTAGTGGTTGCAACAGCAGGTGGTTTGCTCCTTCTTTCCTATCAAATGTCTATGTTATCCCTATCTCTTTTCCTTTTTTTTGTGTTTGTTTCTCTCTTGTGACACCTCTAATCTTCGGTACTTATATGACCTCGTTGTGTTGCAAGTGCCGTAAAAGGCATGCTAAAACTTAAGTAGTCGGAACATTTGAACTAATGCGCTTTAGATTTGGTCTCTGAATGTTTGTTCTTCTCTATGGGTTTTGTCTCTTGCTGAGACCAGGTTCTAGCCAACTGCATCTTAAATGGCCGAAATTGTGTCAGTTGGGTATAAAATGTTGACCCCATTTGAAGTAGGATGTCTTTATGGTGTAGTCATGGCATTTGCACAACTGTGTGCAAAAACGCAAAGCTTTAGTTGCCTTGATATGTGTGCTCCTCATTCTTTGGTTCGTGTACATTGATATGTGTGCTCCTCATTCTTTGGTTCGTGTACATTGATATGTGTGCTCCTCATTCTTTGGTTCGTGTACATTCAATTGCAACATTTTGCCCAAGTCATTTTTTTAAAGGTTGTGAATTGATGGTAGAGTGAAAATACCTGTTGCGTGTTTTGTATCTTCAAGAAAGTACAGATTAGTCTTGATGCTTTTAGATTCCAAATACATGAACTGAGATATTCAAACGGAACTTTGATATGGTAAAGAAATAATTGCACATGCAGTTTTTTTTGTTTTTTTTGGTGGTGTTTTCTTTAAATGAAAAAAGGTGACTTGGGCTATCATGTTGTGACTATTTTTGTCCTGCCGTCATGACTTTTTCAGCATAGGCACATACTCATTGACTCTGATAAGTGTCCTTAATATTTTATGCAGTTCTCACTTAAATAATAAAATTCATATCGTGGTTAAAAAAAAAAAATGATTAGTTGGAGACATGTACTTTGTGGTACTTCTTGTTCTTTGAACGGAGTTCTCAACACTTATTCTTCTTTTTTTGCGTGGTTTTCTTCTTGGTGATGTATTTTCCCCTGTTTCAGTCCGCTTCAGGAAGCTGAATGTTCTGCTTGGAGTGTTTTCTTCCAGAGCTCAATAAATGGCATTTAAAATAGTTTTTATCTGATATAGATGAGAACAAAATTCTTTCTGTGAAAAGGTTAGGTGTGCTTGAAAGATACTGTCTGCATTCTTTTGCTACACAAGGCAGATGGAGTGAACAGTACAAGAAAGGGGATGGTTGTTGGGTGCTCTGATGTGGTCTACTCACTCTACTTTTTTTTCTAGCTTTTCTTTTAATGTAGTCTGTCCCCGATGAAATATGGCCTTTATCGTAACGAATTGTTGCATAGTATACCTCAACCAAAGCTTAGGGTAGCTATATGTCACATTGATTTTAATCACACTACAGAAGCCGAAGATGCACTCCATCAAAGTTGAGAGGCCTCATT